CGGTTGTCTCCCGTTGGCATGGTGACAGCCATCAGTCGGTTGTCTCCTGTTTTGTTTCTTTGTCCTCTGACAGCTTTAAGAGCTCATGGTATTCTAAGCTCACTTCATGTGTGTCTCGTCTATTACTGTCGCTTTGTGGAAAGCCTTGGAATCACACAGGTTGAGTCTTTCAATTTTGTTCTTCTTTTTCAAGACTGTTTCTGGTCCCTTGAATTTCATATGAGTTTTAGTATCAGCTTATTAATTTCTCAATCTATTTTTTTCCAATTTTATTTTAAAACAAACTTTGGCTTTTTTTCTCCCTTTTTTTTTTACATTTTATTGTTTTTCTGTTCTCTGCTTCAGTAAATAAAATCATTATTTCTTTCTTCTTTCCCAGGTCTAGTTTGCTCCCCAACTCCCAGAACTGTGCCCCCTCTCCCCCTTCCGCCCTCCCCCCTCCCTCTTTCCCCCTCCGCCCTCTCCCTCTCTTTAGTGGCTGTCTTTCTCCCTTGTTCCCCTTTCCCCCCTTTCTCTTCAGCGTTCAGATTGAACCAGGACCTTGGATGGGCTGCTCAGGTCTGTGCCACTACACTGTGTCCCGTGTCTTAATGTAGAGATTAGGTTCTTCACTTGAGATATTCTTGTTTATAGAACTGACATTTACAATTATGAGTTTCTCTAACTACCGCTTAAGGTCTGTAAGCTGTGTCTCGACTTCATTTCTATCAACATGTTTCCTAATTTCTGCAGTGATTTCTTTTTTGGCTCATTGGTTGCTTAGGAATATGTTAACTACCACAGATCTGAATTTTCTGTATTTTTCTGGTACTTTTACTCTGTTACTCTATTTTATTCTGTTGTTATTAGAGACCCTACTCTGTATGATTTCAATCCCCCTAACTGTACTGAGGCTCAGCTTACAGCCTTAGATAAATCTGTTCTGAAGAATGCTCGGTGTACATTTAAAGTGTGTTCTATTCTTCGCTGCTGATCTCAGATCAACTCTGCTGCAGATGAAATATAAAAGCCAACTCCATGAAGGCAGTGGAGAGAGGTCAAAAGCAGACAGCAAGTGGGGTTAATCTTCAGAAGAAAAAGAATAATACTTTGTTTTTAAGTGGCTTTCTCTTAAACAGGCCCATTCCCTAGCTTATCTGGTAGCTAGAACTTAAATAGAAACCCAGGCTTGCTGACTTGAGATCCAAAGAAAGAGCTCCGAGTCACACAGACGGTTAGAAGGTGAGCAGTGAAAAGCGACCTACAGATTTAATGCAATGCACAGCAAAATTCTTCATAGACCTCAAAAAAATGGTACTCAACTTCATATGGAAAAGCAAAAAAAACCCATGATACCCAAAACAATCCTGTACGATAAAAGAACTTCTGGAGGCATCACAATCCCTGACTTCAAACTCTACTACAGAGCTACAGTACGGAAAACAGCCCAGTACTGGCATAAGAACAGACAGGAGGACCAATGGACCCGAATAGAAGACCCGGATATTAATCCACACACCTTTGAACACCTGATTTTTGACAAAGAAGGAAAAAATATCAAATGGAAAAAAGAAAGCATATTTAAAAAATGGTGCTGTCATAACTGGATATCAACATCATATAGAAGAATGAAAATAGATCCATATCTATCACCATACAAAAAACTCAAGTCCAAATGGATCAAAAACCTCAATATAAACCCAACCATACTGAACCCAAAAGAAGAGAAAATGAAAAGTACACTGAACTTATTGGCACAGGAGACCACTTCCTAAATATAACCCCAGTAGCACAAACACTGAGAGAAACAATTAATAAATGGGACCTCCTGAATCTGAAAAGCTTCTGTAAAGCAAAGAACATGGTCAACAAGACAAAACAACAGCCTACAGAATGGGATAAGATCTTCACTAATCCCACATCAGACAGAAGTCTGATCTCCAAAATATACAAAGAACTCAAGAAATTGGGCATCAAAAGAACAAATAATCCAACTAAAAAAAAAAATGGAGTACGGACCTAAACAGGGAACTCTCAACAGAGGAATCTAAAATGGCTGAAAGACACTTAAGGAAATGTTCAACATCCTTAGTCATCAGAGAAATGCAAATCAAAACAACTCTGAGATTCCATCTTACACCTGTAAGAATGGCCAAGATCAAAAACACTGATGACAACTTATGCTGGAGAGGCTGTGGGAAAAAGTGAACACTCCTGCATTGCTGGTGGGAATGCAAGCTGGTACAACCCCTTCGGATGTCAGTGTGGCGATTTCTTAGAAAATTAGGAAATAACCTTCCTCAAGACCCAACAATGCCACTTTTGGGTATATATCCAAAGGATGCTCAATCGTGCCACAAGGACATGTGTTCAACTATGTCCATAGCAGCTTTGTTTGTCATAGCCAAAACCTGGAAACAACCTAAATTCCCCTTGACTGAAGAATGGATGAGGAAAATGTGGTATATTTACACAATGGAGTACTACATAGCAGAAAAAAATAATGACATCTTTAAATTTCCAGGCAAATGGATGGAGCTAGAAAACATCATTCTGAATGAGGTAACCGACACCCAGAAAGACAATAATCACATGTACTCACTTATAGGTGGTTTTTAAATATAAAGCAAAGAAAATCAGCCTACAAATCACAATCCCAGAGAACCTAGACAATAATGAGGACCTTAAGAGAGACATACATGGATCTAATCTACATGGGAAGTAGAAAAAGACAAGATCTCCTGAGTAAATTGGGAGCATGGGGACCTTGGGAGAGGGTTGAAGGAGAGGGAAGGCAGGGGAGCAGAGAAAAATGTAGAGCTCAATAAAAACAATAAAATTTAAAAAAAGGAAAGTGAACGGTGAAAAGCTAGATAGGAGAGAGGGAGGGAGACACACACACACGAGAGAGAGAGAGAGAGAGAGAGAGAGAGAGAGAGAGAGAGATTGAAAACCAGAAGCCTGGATTCAGCCAGGCTTACTGAAAAGTAAGAAAATTAAAAATTAAAATTATGTGTTTATCTCAATATATTTATGAAAAAATCACAGGTCTTAAAATGTAATAACAAGTGGCTACATTGGTCTAAATCAGTAGTTTTCAACTATGGGTCACAACCCCTTTGGGGGCAGTGCTGAAGGACCATTTATTTCACAGGGGTCACATATCAGATATCCTGCATAGCAGATATTTACACCCCGATTCATAACAGTAGCAAAATTACAATTATGAAGTAGCAACAAAAATAATTTTGTGGTTGAGGTCACCACAGCATGAGGAACTGTGGTAAAGGGTCACAGTATTAGGAAGTTTGAGAACCACTGGTCTACATCAGTGGTCTAGACTGGTAGTCTTACGTTTTGAAGGAATTAAATTGATATAGGCCAATATTACAGAAAACACAACCAATCAAAATACAGAGTTGCCGGGGCTTGAGAGACAGCTCAGTAGTTAAAAGCATTGGCTTCTCTTCCAGAGGACCCAGGTTCGATTCCCAGCACCTACATGGCAATCGACACCCATGGCAAAACACCAACGCACATAAAATAACAAAATAAAAACCAGAGTTGTGGAGTCTAGTACCAAGGCATTGATCTATAATAGAACTCCCACACCTAAGGTCCAGGTAACATCATGGAAGAAAGGGCAGAAAGATTGTTTAAAAGCCAAAGGTTTGGGGAGTTTGCTGTGAGACTATATCTCCTTGTAATGTCAGGAGCTACACAGGGTCTCACCAACATGACTGCCCAAATGTGAGTTGAACAAAAGCAGCAATAGACAAGCCAAAGTAGACAGGGAAAAGGCCATGAGACCCCAGCCCTACACAAAGAACTAGGCAATTAAGGAATGCTGAGTCAGGGATATGGTCTTCCCCAGGTAAGAGTATGCCAATTAGTTATCCAATACCAAACCGTCAGCCCTAAAAACATACATGTGAGTAACACTATGTTGACTGAGCAGGTTATATTTAAGTATTTAGGAGTATATATGTATGCGTATATATGTGTGTATGTATGTATATATGTATGTATGTATGCGCATGTAACAACAATGAAATGGAAACGGAGGCTATGAATTTGAAAGGGCTCAGGGAGGGGTATATTGGAGGGTTTAGAGGGAGGAAGAGAACGGGGGAAATAATGTAATTATAGTCTCAAAAATAAAGCAAATTTAAATATTGATATAGGTCAGTTGATTCATCCAGCATAACTCAAGAGTTACTGTGAACCATCATTTCCTGGGTTGTAAGTTATTGTTAATTACAGATAAAACGGCTTATACCCACATTAAGATGTCCCAGAAGGAAAGTAGGAAGGAGGGAAGGAGGAAGAGAGGGAGGGAGGGGAAGGAGGGAGAGAGGGAGGAAAGAAGGAAGGAAGGAAGGAAGGAAGGAAGGAAGGAAGGAAGGAAGGAAGGAAGGAAGGAGTACCCCAGGAACAAACACCTTGCAGCTGTCCTTTGTCTGAATATTGCCAGCACAAAGTTCGTCCTCCTCGATGACGGACTCCAGTTCTGGGAGGAAAATGCCGATTGGGCTGTACAGTTGTTTACACCCCTCATTGCTAATGAGGGGCACTTCAGCTTCTTGGAGGGTAGAGGGGTAAAGACCTGAAGAGGACAACAGCAAGGAAAGTTTGTAACCGCCTGGAGTCAGAACCAGCCCGCCTTCCTATGGAGAGCTCTGAGATGCTGAAATCCAACTAAATGAATTTGAATTGTTTCAGTTTGTGCCAGCATCCTAATAAAGAATATTCACATAACTTCTGATTAAGTCAAAATGCAGGTAATCTAAATTATTCTAAAATTGTTCTCCTCATTTTTCTTAAATTTCTGAATTATCTCTACTTCATTCTGGAAAAGGTGTTAACACGTTTTTATAAACAAATTAACACACATCAAAACAAAAAAAAAACTAGACTTTCCAAACATTAAGTCATGTTTAATAGTCTCTGAAGGAGAGGTAAAACTATATGTTTAAATTGTTAATATTTGCTCTGTCAGTTATAAACAGACTCTAGGCATGATATAGTAGTAAACAAACAGGTAAATGTCAAAAGGATATTTTATTTGAAGACTTATAGATTGATTTAATCTAGCTGAAAAATATTAGCCAGAGTCATGCTGTGCTGTCATACACTTATAATTCCAGGAGACTAGTATAAAGGAACATGTGTTCAAGGCTAGCTTTGGCTACTGAGCAAGTTTAAGGCTTGCCTGAGCTACACAAGAACCTGTTTTAATTAATTAATTGTTAAGTAATTCATCCCTCTCTCTACCCATCTCTCCTGTACCTTCCTGAGTTTGTCCCTATCCGGTCACCCAGCACAAAGCTGGCAGAGTCAGCAGCTGCTCTGAGATACTGGGGAAGCAAATTGGCAGAATGAGAGCCGTGAAGGTGACCGTGGACGACAGTTTCAGCAGGGCAATATCTCTGGTTATGCCATAGTGACTGGGATAGGTGATGATTTTGGACACGTAGTATTCCTTGTCTTTACTTGAGTGGTTTACATCAATGGATCCAAGCCGCACACTGTATAAAAAAACCAACTGTGTCCTAAGAGGAAAAGACAGAAGAGAACAGAAGTGACGTACTGACCTACAGCGCATCAGAACAAGCTGCCTATCATAGCCCAAAGTCTCTGAAGAAGAGAAGGTGATACTTCCAGGGTTCAGTTCCTCTGGAGCTAAGATTAGTTTGTGTCTTTTTCTTATCTCCTGTGCCCTGTCCTGGCTTCTCTTCCTGTGGTCTTCTCTTACGTGATGGTGGCCAGAATTCGCCCTACATATTCTCCCTGATTCCCCCACTTAACCTCTTCCATTTTCCATGGTTGTGTGTGTGTGTGTGTGTGTGTGTGTGTGTGTGTTGTGTCAGGTGGTCTCATCAGATGCACAAAATAAATAACCTAAGTAGTGTCAGGCAGCCTGTTACCACCACCACCACCCCCTTCTTTGGCCTTCTGCCTTTTTGTTCTAGACTATCTTACCGTCTGTCATCTTGGTTTTCTTGGGAATTCTCTTGTGTTATAGCCTACCATTTTGTCTAGGTCCATGTCTTCCCGTCCCTCCCTGCTCATACGCAGGAGTGGAAACGGTTTTGTGGCTTTGAATATTTGTAAACGTCTGTGTTTATACGCTATCTATTCACCGTTTGTATGCAGGTAGAACATACAATTCTGAGCTAGGAAGAAACTCTCCCTCAGTATTTTGAACTCACTCTACCATTTTTCTGAGTTTTCATGGTTGTTCGTGAAAAAGCCTTTTGACGGCTGTGCATATTAGTGTCCGTTGTTGCAGAATGAGTTGTTATCATGTTCTGTGGTGTAAATGAAAACATATTTGGGTCTCAGAGTCTTTGAGTCATGGACCAGGTGTGGCCTAACTGGTGCCTACGTCTCGGTCTCTCCAGTGGCCCCAGTCAGGGCTTGAATTGGGGAGAATCTGTTGCCAGCTCACTTACATTGAGTTGGAGTCTTTGTGAGAAACCAGTCTCATCTGGTGCTGACCACACAGCAACTTGCTTTTACACCACGGCTCTGAAGGCTCTGATTGTATTTGCGAGACCCAAAAGCTCAAGACAAACCCCTGAGTGGTTTCGGAAGTGAGCAAACGCAATGGAAGGCATCGTCTACACCCTGTCTCCTGGTTGTGTTCCCTCCAGGATGATGTAGGCTTCCCTGATGCTATCCAAACATCCATGTGTCCTCTCCCAGCTACAGCGTGCTGCTGTCAGTACCCAGTGCTCGTACCCAGCGCTCGCTGATGAGGGAACCACCACAGATGTGAGTCTGGCCAAACTGCAGGTTGACCTGCCAAAGCAGCAGGTTGGCCACCCACAATGCGTCCAGAGTATACAGGTCGTCCACACACTAGACAAAAAGGAGAAGGCACAGTGCACACTAACTTCTGGCCTCCATTTTATCACTGTCCCCAAACTCCCATCTCATCCTTTTCTAGGATTTGAGGCCTCCTTAAAACAACTTACACTTCCCAATTCCAGTTTTCTTTTTCCCAAGTTCTTTATTTATGTGCTTTAAATATATGGGTGTTTTGAATCTGCATGTACGTCTGCACATCAGAAGAGGGCACAGGGTTCCATGGGATATAGTTACAGGCAGTTGTGAGCCGTCATATGGATGCTGGGGATTGAACTCAGGACCTCTGGGAGAGCAGTCAATCAATGTTCTTAACCACTGAGCCAAATCTCCAGCTCACCGCCCCCCCCAAAAAAAATTCCAGTTTAAAACCCAGCAGCTCTAAGCCAGTGTGGAGACTACTCACCTGATTGCAAAGTTTTCTTTTTGGCAAAAGAATATGGGCAAGACCCTACAGAAAACACACCATATCATTAGTACATAGTAACATCTTATATTTGAACTCACTGAACAAGAGCTTTCTAGGTCGGCGGTAGGGCTAAAATTTACGAATGTCTACCAGTTACAGAGACTCCTGATAATTATATACCTACCTACCTGACTCTAGTAAGCGAAGTTTACCATTTGCTTTATGAGTCATTATCAGGAACATCAAATATGTCCAATTGCAATACAGTGATGCCCTGGGCCCCTTTTGAGATTTATAGACTGTTTATTTTTATGTTGTTTTCTTTAACTGAATTGTCATTTTGCAATATTTTTGTCTTTTTTTGTTGTTGTTGTTACTTCTTACCTCTTTGCTACTGACAGCATAGCCTTCTTTTAATTAATTGTAGTCCAGAGAAGTAACCGGACAAGTTGTTTATTATGCCAGTCCTACCTCCAGATTCCTCTACCTGAAATGCGGTTTTCCGGGGCCTGGGTCTCCTCTGACTTGCTCATTTCCATGAGTCATCCCCTCTGAAGGAATAGAGGAAGTCCTGAGTGAATGAATACTGTTGACATGGACCCTGGCCTCAGACCTGTGGGAAAATGGCAAAGCCCCTACCTCACCCGAGGGGTGTGGCTCCGCGGGAAAGCAGAGCCTTCTTCTGGGTCCTGTGGTGATAGTCGGGGCAGAAAATGTCCACTGTAGCTTTCTCCTGCTAATGCACATGCATGGCTTGAAGAATGCTCCCCAACAAACACCGCTCCTAGGAGATTAGCTAAAAGTGCCTCCTCAATCCAGCTTCATACAGTACACCTTGCCTTTTTGTTTATCCATATGTAACAGTCCCACCTTCTTGTTCAGCAGTGTATAATAAACGTGCTGAGCTTCTAGGGTAATGCAGCGCTCCATCAGAGGGCCCAGCCCACACAACCCCATTTTTTCTACTTGTCCTTTCCTCTTTCCTTCATGGCCCCAGCAGGTGAATCCCTGGAGCAATGCAGGGGCAACCCCTTGTGCTGCGGGGGCTGGAACATGACCGCCAAGCGCTCCACTTTCACCCAGTCTCTTTCCAGGACCTGCTCAAATTATTCCTTTTTAGAGAGGCCATTTTAGACTAACCCGTTAAAAATTACAGCACGCCTCTTTTGCTGTTGTTATTTTGTTTGTTTTATGCAGGCTGGGTTGGCCTAGAACTCCCATTCAGCCGTCCTGAATGTTGGGATTCTAGGCCCGTTTTTGTCCCTGAACTTGAGATGCCCCTTTCCCTTCATAACATTTATTAATCATTAATATGCTTTATAACTTACATTTTTAATCTGCTCACTGATTATAAGGCTCATGAAGACAAGGACCTTGGTTTTGTTTACTGCTTTATCTAATCACGGACGTTTAAACAAGGATGATGCCACTCACGAATAGCATCCATACGTTATCATACGATGTCTTCTTGAGTCAAACGTTTCCGCGTTCTCCCCTCTTGGCCCTGCCTCTGGAGCTCACCTAGCATAAGTAGCAGCAGGACCACGGGGACGGCAGGGCCCATGCCTCTGTCCTCAGGAGCAACACTTCCTGCTTCCCGACTCAGGGTCCAAGCCAGGGAAGGGGCTGGACCAGCTTCTCCGGTAGATGGAGCACTCTGCTTCTTGCTCAGCTTCTTCCCCCAAGGGAGCAGATTTAAGCAGAGCAATTGCAGGATCCTGCAGCGCCCCCTACTGTCACGGAGGAGCCAACTGTGTGGAGTTTTTGCCTAGGGGGCGGGGTAGTAGATCCGCTAAGGGTTCTGGGAAGGATTAGGGCTTTATTTGTCCATGGCGAGAAGGTGGAAGGGTTGCAGGATTCGAGGATTAGTCAAAAAATAAGAAAGGGGAAAGAGGAAATTAACCCACTATCTGAATTAAATCCATTTTTATTTTACAAATCAGGTTTACAAATAAACTCTAAGACAACGAACATCGATCTGTGTGTAGAACATTTATTGTAGTCTGGTCTCAGGTTTACAAATAAGCTTTAAGACAGTGATCTCTCTGTGTGTAGAACATTTATTGTAGTGTGGCCTCGGGTTAGTACCTGGGGTCTGCGTGGAAAGACCAGGAGCGGAGTGCAACGGGTCACCTGGAGCAAACCTAGGGCAGATCATAGCAGGGAAGACTTGGATGATGTTGGCTTGAGAGCTGGTAGCAGGGTTGTTCAATATCTCCACTCAGATTCCTGGCCATTCCTACATTAAAATGGCTCAGCTTCGTTCCATGCCACCTGCCCAAGAGTTTCCTTGTAGTTAGTCTGGATTCCGAGGAGGCTTTATGTGATGCAGATACTCTGTTCTTATCAGGACATAGGTTCTCATGTCTATGGATTGATTGTCTTTGAGGTAGGTCTCCTTACATAAAAAGAAGAGGGGGTGGGGACACAAAAATTTGTTTTTTAGGACAGTTGCCCTCAGCCTGACTCCCCCTAGTGTCTTGAAAATGATCAGTGTGTGTGTGTGTGTGTGTGTGTGTGTGTGTGTGTGTGTGTGTGTGTCTAAGAAATGTGATCTTCACAAGAGTTAGCTTTTCCAGCCTGTATGTACCACCCAACCTGGTCTACTTTATTTAAATAACTACAGTTTAAAGCCATTTTTAGAAGGGAACATTTGACAAAAACCTTGTCTCCGTGTGTTTGTTTACTGACTGTCCCACTACATCTTACCAAGTTTGTACTTTTCAGATCCACTTGCCTTCAGTTGTCTCTCCTGGAAGCTGCATCTGCCATCTTCCTGTTAACTTACTAGTGTCCTGCAGGCTTTCTTTACACGCTCCGTTTGTGAGATTTGTGCATCCGTGCTGGCTTTGTTCTAGTTGCTGTGATTTTTTTTTTTTAGCATCTGATAATATATGACTTCCTGCTTTGATCTTATTTTTTTTCTGAAGAAGGAAAAAAAACACTTATTTTTAATAATCGCAGCCACCTTTGTGGGTATTTCAAATAATTTGTGATGTTTGCAGACAATTTTATCTGTGAATGTAGCTTTAAGAAGGTCGGGGAGCTGGGAATAGCTCCATAGCAGACTGCTTGCCTAGCATACACAAGGCCGGGGTTCCACCCCGAGCACTGCAAAAAGTACAATGTCAGATTGTCATCTGGCGTTTACCTGAGTTGTGTCTGGAGATCTGGTAGTTTCTCCTTGTTCTGTCACGATCCCTGGGCTCTGGGCATGTCTGCGATTTGTCTGGAGTAAAGGCTTTCTCAGACGCCATTAGGTCCTGTGATTATCCCAGGTTGCTTGGCGCCTGATCCCACTGGGCAAATGTGAAGTTCTAACTGACTCCCTTTATAATTTAGTTAGGCTGCTCACAGAGTCTCGTCTGTTAAAATGATTTATAAAAAAAAATAAAATGATTTATTTTGATACCACTGTCTATTAAATTGTGTCAGAAGCAAACTCTATGGGATGTAACGAGGCCATCGGCTTGTTATTCTGAAAATTGGAGGGGGGGAAAGAGTTGTCCTGCTTTTCCTGTAAAAATTATAGTTCATAGAAACCAATTAGGTTCAGTCAGTGAGGGACAGAGTACACCTGATGAATGCGTTTGGACTAGCAGAAAATTTAAAAAATTAGAAAGTCACTAATTACATCCCATCGTGAAAATTGATTAGGATAGTGGTCACCGATAGAAGGATAGAAGGGTGGATATGGATCTCTGGCTGGTGGTACCTTTGAGCCCTGTGATCGAGTGTGGTGTGGCTAAAAGTGGGACAAGGCAGACACGTGCCTCTTGATGTCTCGAATATGAAGCACACGGTACCTCCTGTGTAGCATTCTTGTCAGACAAAGAGACCTGAACTCTGGAGCTACTTCCATTTGCCAAAAATACAGGGGATAAAAGAACCAGTTAGATTACAACACAAGGAAGTAAATAGGCAGAGTTGGAATGTGGGACATTTTCTAAAGCTGCTAACCTGGTTTCTGTAGTAAGTTAACCTTACGGGGCGGGGAGAGGAGACTGCACTAGGTTATAAGAAACTTTAAAGAGGGAGGTAAGTGTGTTGTCCCTGTTTGGATGCCGATGTAATAAACCAACTCTAATGAGTCCTTTTTCTGTAAGGAAGGAAATTTAATAGAGCTGGATAGTGGATGAGTGGCCTTAATCTTGGTAGGTGTCACAATGACTTTGGGTTATGTAAGGAAATATATATTTTCAAAGAGAGAATCAGGAGCCCATGAGTCCTTTGTAAATCTGAGCTGGATTCTTTTTCTCGTTTTGGAGAACACTCCAGTGGATTTTCGTCTGTAGCTGTTGTTTTCATGGATAAGGCATTGTGGCCTTGAACAAATCATCTTACTCAATGGCCTTTCTCCAGGCTCCTGATGGGTCATGATCAACTGAAGATCACAAAGAATGCAACATTGATTGTGCATTGCCTCTTTATCATCATACGCTTTATTGCTTCTACTTTTCCTCTACAGAGATTTTAATTTCAGTTCAGCAATCAAGAAACATGCAGAGCCTGACATTTTACTGCCTCCCTGACTTTCTAAAATAAGGAAGCCCCAGGGAATTGGAAATAATGAGTGTAAATCTTATGCCCACTCCTGGGACACGCCTGGAGCTCAGCACCGCTCTTACCATGTTCTGTCACAGGTGTTCGAGTCTCTGTCCACAGACGTCACAGCTAAGATGCTCTTCGGCTGTTTCTACTGTGCACAGAAACTGTTGGTTTGGGAAATAACAATATGGAGGAGACTATTGAGAACTTTGTCACTCGCTGTGGGACTGTGTGCTGTGGGAGCTCCTTCAGCCAAAAGCCTTTAAGACACTAGCCTATTTGGGCATAGTTCTCTCCAAAGTACTTCCTGCTTTTTGTTGGGTGAAATATTTTGGGGAGTGTTTATGGTAAGCTTTTGGGGGGTCTTGGTGCATCAAACCACATTAGTCTGGAAATAAGCCACAGGTTCTCATCCTCTGTGGAAACAAAAACAGAACCTCTTTTCCAAAGCAACAAATCCTAAGACTCAAATTCTGAAGTCAAGATACCTTTATGTTGGTTTCTTAGCAGTCCATACAATGAAATGTCTCTCATTACATAGTTCTTTAACAGTCAAAAAATTTAAAAAAAAAAAACACAATAATATACATAATCCAGACTCTCTGTGTATATTCCATCTTTTTGTGGCTTATTTTTCTTACTCTATTACTTTTTCTGCAAGTTTAATATTTATTTTATTATCTTTACTCCTTTAATCTATGACTGTCTTTACTCTTTTATATTACATTTATTGCCTGTTTACTCTTTTTCTTCTCTCTCCCAAGCCTATGTATGTTTTTAAACACATTGTGACTCCTTTAGAGTTCTTTTACATCTGAATCTGTCCTATGGTGTATCTGTAATCCTTTTCTGTCCTGGAGAGCTTTTAAAATGGTAAGCAGCTTGATCACAATGACCCTGGTGCTGGCTCTACCTCTCTTAACTTTTCAAAAGGTGGAGGTACCATTACCGCCAGCTCTGGAACTGCCAGGTGGGAGCCACACTCACCACTTTAATTCTGAGAAGGAGCGTGCAGCACATAAACCCATTTTATCTGAGTAATAGCTAAATCTGCCATGCAGTGCAATGCACAGCCTGAAAATATCTCTGTGTATGGCAGCAGGAATCTGCCATGCTCTCCTGTTTGTGGACTCCTAGTAGACCTGATTTCGCTATCTGCCGAGGTGGGGAGCACTGAATCCTGGGCATGGTCTCAGCTACTTTGCTCCTGACCCTGAGTGGGCACACAAGCACCCAAGCTCACAAACACCATTCAAGTGTTCGGCATCTGAAAGAGCCGGAGCAGTTTGTGCTGCCATTTTGAAACCGCACTTTTTTTACTTTGTTTTTGTTGTTGTTGCTACTGCTGAATCAGGAAGACCTCTCTTAGAGGAGCCACCAGCAAACAGAGCAAGACGCTGCGTTAAACTCTTTTTTGTTTGTAGAATTACTTTTCAAGCTTTCTCAGATTGTATGTGGATTTAACTGGCACGCATTGGAGTGCCAATTTGTTGAGAGAAGTTGCCTGTTTGTTCCTGGCTGCCCAGACTCCCAAAGTAACTACTCAGAAACTGTATTAATTAAATCACTGCTTGGCCTATTCGCTCTAGCTTTTTATTTGCTAGCTCTTATATCTTTGGCTAACCCAGGTCCTCTGGAAGAGCAGCCAGTGCTCTTAACTGCTGAGCTATCTCTCCATCCCTGGAAAGCTTTTAACACGGTCCTAATTTAGTTTACCATTATGTAATTGCATTGTTTGTGTGGTTATTAATGAAAACTGTTGTTTTCAATAGTTATTTCTTTAGTGAAATCTGAGATGCTTGCTTTGCTATTGTTCATTCCAACAGTGCCAGAACTCCTTCCTATAACTAAGTTTTACTTTTACCTATCATGTGATATATTGTGTTACTATTTTATAAAAAGAAAAAAGGACTTGGCCCTGGCCAGTGTGTATGCCATGTTCTTAACCACCCATCTTTGTATGCCAGAGCTTAGGAAAAGAACAATAAGGCAGCCTTGCATGCGTTATGAAGGGTGTTTTTAAACTGTTCTCTGTCCATGCTGAATGTATCTTTAATAAAACCTCCGCTAATACCACACCTGTGAGCATGACTATGACTCACTTTCTCTGGGTGGGGCTAATAAAAGACTCAAGGAATTTCCCCCTACACTTTTCTGTTTTGATCTTTGAGCGCTAGGCACAGCCAGCCTTGACTTTGGAACCATCACACTGTTTCCGTTCATTTCTAAATGAGGAACGCAGCCTTTATTATGCCCCCTGTGGTGCTTGTAATGAGAATGGCCTCCTGTGGCTCCTATAGTTGAGTTCATAGTCCCCAGTTGAACTGGTTGGGAAGGATTAGGAGGTGTTGCCTTTTTGAAGGAGGTGTGTCACTGGGAATGGGGTTTGAAATTTCAGAAACCCATGCCGTGCCCAGTTAGTTTTCTCTGCCTTCTCTCAGGTACTGCTCTAACACCATGCCTGCCACCCTCCTGCCAGCCACCATGCTCCCCACCATGCTCCCCACCATCTTCTCCATGATAGCCGTGGACTCTCTGAAACTGCAAGCCCCCAATAAACTCTTTCTTCTATAAGTTGTCTTGGGCATGGTGTCCCTTCACAGGAACAGAGACATAACTAAGACACCCCAGTCTTTGCCTCCTGAGAGACACAACTTGTTGACTCATTTCTAGGGGCTGCAACAGGAAGTCACACAATGACTTACGAAGAGACTTTCCCTTTCTTCAGCCACTCTCTCTTGAGAAGCCATTTTCACTAAGACCGCTCTGCAGACAGCTCCCTGTGGGCCGTGGGAAACAGAGTGGCAAGCAAGCTGGGGTCTCCCCGCAGGTACATGCATGAGCTCAGAAATGAAAGTCAAACATGGCCAACACAGTGGTAGTCATTGAGAGACCCCCGAGTCACTACCACCCAGCCCAGCCTCTCCTGGTCAGTGATCCACAGAAAGGAACTGAGGTTTCCTGGTTCAGTGATTTAAGTCTGGAAGGAATTTGTTGTACAGCAGTAGATGACTAATACACTGTGTGGGCTCTGCTAGCCTGACCCGATTTACCTGAATCCATTTGATCTTTTACATTCTCCCTTTTTTTTTTCAGTCTAAGTCTTGTGTTGGGTAATTTTCTTCTTGGATTCAGTCAAGGGCAGACTGACCTGCAGACACCAGCTTCTTTTCCTACTGAATGTGAAGAGTGGTTGGGCCAGGTGGTTTCTGAATTCCTTTCTGCCTTAAAGTTCTCTGCTTCTAAATTTCTTTCTAAGCTCTGCCTCAGTTTCAACAAAACAATGAGTCTGAGCGATGTCAGAGTTAGCCAGTTGTTTTTAAGTGACAGATTATAATTGTACAACTTCATGTGTTCTACTGTGTTTCGGTACACTTATTATATATTGGTCTACTTAAGACACTGGATACAGCGTTTGAAGCAGTCACTCTGTCAGCTCAGCTTTCCAGACAACAGGTTAGACTTACAGGGTGACAGAACTGTATCTGTCTTGCTAGACACCACAATTTTCAGCTTCCAAAATGTGTCCCTTCTCCCTCATTTGCAATTGCTCTTTTATCCTGGCTATATTGATCTTGCCTGTTAAAGTGACCCCAAGAAAATCAGAAGCATAAATATAACAGGAAGCCAGGAAGTGGGAGTGAGAGAAAACTCTGTGGATGAGATGACTAACTTCTTAATCCAAGAGTTATAGAAATTGGTGTTTGTG